GCATGCGTGTGCGTGAACCTTGCTTACAGTGTGACGGTTTGCGCTGTCCTGACATGACATGACCGAAGGACACGACAGGCACATTGCAGTTGCGCCAATTGGTTTTTTCCATTTCCTGAGCTCAGACTGTTTTGCCGTAAGAAACACTCGCAGCAAGAAAGGGTCCATGGCAGCCGCCTGCCATGGTGATCTGGTAGACCGAATCACTTGCCGGGACCTTTCTGATTCTGAGGGCGGCCTCCCTTGGACGCAAAGTTCCGTCAGCTCGGAGCCATTGCTGGTAGCTTGCATGTTCAGATGTGAAGCAGTAGCAGCTGTAGGGCAGAGACTGTCTTCACCCTTAAGCCCTAAACCCTAAACCCTAAACCCTAGACCTTAAACTGCCGGACAACCTAAGGACCTCCCTCGAGACAAGTGCAGGCTGGCCAGAGCTGGCCGAGCGCTTTGTATCGCCTGGTCTACGGTACTGGAGGTGCTTGGCCCAGAGACCGTCCAGGACGCCAGCCCTTGGGTTTAGGGTTTAGGGTTTTTTTTTGTTTAGGGTTTCAACCCTAAACCCTAAACCCTAAAGTTTACGGTTTAGGGTTTAGGGTTTAGGGTTTAGGGCTTAGGGTTTAGGGTTTAGTATAGGGTTTAGGGTTTAGGGTTTAGGGTTTAGGGTTTAGGGTTTAGGGTTTAGGGTTTAGGGTTTGGGGAGTCTTAGGCTCATTGCTGCTTTGTATTGTTGGTCAGGAATCCTATCTCGTGAAAGGGCGCCGAACTTCGTCTAGCTGCACAGGCGCATTTACCTCAGAGCTTTCTTTAGCTGCGCTGGAGATCCTCGTCAACCAGTCCCACAGACTGGATGTTCCGGTTGGATTCTATCCGATATCATGCCATGATGCTTGGCATCTTGTCTAGCGGGGCTCAGAAACAGTCACACGGTGCAAGTAAGTAGTGCGAGCGTGCGTTTCTTTTTCTTGCGCCGAGGAGTGGAGCAGACAATGTCGGCAGATGATTGTGGATCACTTCGCTTGGATGCGCCGGGCGACAGGGAAGAGCCGGTGCGTGAGCCCATGTGTTTTTGGGGACATTGAGGGCTGCATCCCTAAAGGATGCTATCAAGCAGACGACAAATTTATGACCAAGTTCGGCAAAGTGGATGCAGCGCCATTCTTGTCTAGACAGCACTGCTACACACATAACCAACAATGCCCGTTGTTTGGGCCTGGGACGGACGCAGATCTTGAAGTCGCTGGCCTGCCGTGTTGGGACATGAGTTCCTCCGGTAAGCGCTTGAAAGAGGAAGGACGCACTGCTGGTTGCTTCCTTGCGCACGCAAAACGGCAAGTGGAGAAGCAGACGCCTCTGATAATCATCGAGAACACTGAGGCGATTTCATGTTGTGCGTGCGTGTGCCTCTGTGTGTGTGTGTGTGTGTGTGTCTGTCTGTGGGCGTGCGCGTGCGCGTGCGCGTGCGAGTGCGCGTGTGCGTGTGCGTGTGCGTGTGCGTGTGCGTGCGCGTGCGCGTGCGCGTGCGCGTGCGCGTGCGCAACTGCTAGGGCTCGTGCGCGTGCGCGGTGCGGTTAGCGCGTGCGGTGCGCGTGCGCGTGCTGCGTGCGCGTGCCGCGTGCGCGTGCGCGTGCTCGATGCGCGTGCGCGTGCGCGTGGCGCTATGCGCGTGGGCGCGTGCGCGTGCGCGTGCGCTTGCGCGTAGCGCGTGCGCGTGCGCGTGGCGTGCGCGTCGCGTAGCGCTGGCGCGTGCGCTGTGCGCGTGCGTCGTGCGCGTGCGCGTGCGCGTGCGCGGCGCTGCGCGTGCGCGTGTCGCGTGGGGGGCGCGTGCGCGTGCGCGTGGCGTTGCGCGTGCGCGTTCGCGTCGCGTTCGCAGTGCGCGTGCCGCGTGCGCGTGGTGCCGCGTGCGCCGAGCGCGTGCGCGTTGCGCGTAGCGCCGTGCGCGTGCGCCCGTGCGCGTGCGCGTTGCGCGTGCGCGTTCGCGTGCGCGTAGCGCGTGCCGCGTGCGCGTTCGCGAAGCGCGTGCGCGTTGCGCGTGCGCGTGCGCGTCGCGTGCGCTGTGCGCGTGCCGTGCGCGGGTGTCGCCGTGCGCGTGCGCAGGCGCGTGCGCGTGCGCTTGCGCGAGTGCGCGTGCGCGTGCGTCGTAGCGCGTGCGCTTCGCGTGCGCGTGGCGCGTGCGCGTGCCGCGTGCGCGTGCGCGTGCGCGTGCGCTGTTCGCGGCGCTTGCGCGTGCGCCGTGCGCGTGGCGTGCCTCGTGCGCGTGCGCGTGTGTCCTGGTGTGTGTGTGGGGTGGTTGTGTGTGGGGTGTTGTGTGTGTGTGTGTGTGTGTGTGTGTGTGTTTGTGTGTGTGTGTTTGGTTGTTGTGTGTCTGTGTGTGTGTGTGTTTTGTGTGTGTGTGTGTGTGTGTGTGTTTGTGTGGTGGGTTGTGTGTGTGTGTGTGTGTGTGTGTGTGTGTGTGTCGTGTGTGTGTGTGTGTGTGTGTGTGTGTTGTGGGTGTGGTGTTGTGTGTGTGTGTGTGTGTGTGTGTTGTGGTGTTTGTGTGTGTGTGTGTGTGTTGTGTGTGTGTTGTGTGTGTGTGTGTTTGTTGGTGTGTTGTGTGTGTGTGTGTTGGGTGTGTGGGTGTGTGTGTGTGTGGGTGTGTGTGTGGTGTGTGTGTGTGTGTGTGGGTGTGTGTGGTGTCTGTGGTCGTGCGCGTGCGCGTGCGCGTGCGCGTGCGCGTTGCAGGTGCGCGTGTGCTTGCGCGTGCGCGTGCGCGTGTGGCGTGTGCGTGCGCGTGCGCGTGCGCGTGCCCCCCCGCGTGTGCGGTGCGTGTGCCGTGTGCGTGCGCGGCGCGTGCGCGTGCGCGTGGGGTTGCGGTGCGTGCGTGTGGTGCGCTTGCGTGCCGCCAGTGTTCTACGTGGTGTGCGTTCCCTCCCCGCAGGGGCTTGCGATTGAAAAAGATGATCTGAGAAAAGGTCGGCGAGCAACTACCACCTCCACATCCTGCATTGCGACAACCGCGACGTTGGTCAATTTGGCGGTCGTCGTCAGCAGAAGTTACCTCATAACTGGCACACAGCTTCGCGCTCGCATGTCTCCTGCCCGAGGGCTTTGTACAACAGGATTGCTGAAGTGTCTCCCGCATGTGCTCACATATCCAAAAGATTATTTCTTGCCAGCCGCAACGAGATTCGCCTGGCGGCGGAAGAGCTGGCCCGTGAAGCGCAATCTTCCTGTGCCAGAGACGCGCGGCCAACTTCAAATTGTCACTCGCGTTGTTTTGTTGTGCAACCAGTGTCGGTGTGTTTTCTGGGCAGCTTTCCCGGCTGCGAATACCTAAGGAGGCCGTCGAAGCTGGATTTTACACGTTTGCTGACACACAGAGGCTGAAATGTTTCTGAACTCCCTCAACAACAGTATCACAAGAATATGGAAGAAATTCCCTTGCTCGCCCGAAACCTTGTCTACCACCTCGGGGACTCAGCAGAACGATGCATTTTGGAACGCCCGCGATCCGGCAGAATTTCCACTCTTCGAAAAGCATGGGGGCTTCGTATGGTCCCATGCGAAAAAGAATGATGACTTCCAAGAATAAGCTCGCACGCTGGGCTTCCAGACGAGCCTGCTCTGACTCGAATGCTTCTCCCAGAACTACCATCACCAAGCGAATATATGCCCGACTGGCCTCGCCCATGCGCTGACGCACACTGCCAGCACTTTTCGTCAGTTGCCTTTTCGTGCAAATTGCTTAGCCCTCCTCTTGTTTCAGGCCACCTGCGTGCCGCCAGTAGCAGGTCGTTCGTGCGAGCGGCGTGCAGACAGCAAGCTCTTGCGCGGAAAACTCAGGAGCTGCCGGAGGACTGCGACTTTCACATTCTTGTTTGTCTTGATGTGTGCATGTGCGTCGCGAGTCTCATAACGGACCACGCTTCCTTTCTCCAAGTCTGTGTCCTTTTCCGACCTGGTCTGCAGTAACTTGTGCGGCAGAGAGGTTCACGACTGTCCATGCCGCCCAAAAAACCGTCCTCTGTCGTAGCCAGTCTGTGCCCGGGCTCTTGTTTGTGGCGAGGCAGATCGTCTTGGTTTGCCGGAGACCTTCCTGCCACATGTGCCGATGCAGCGGAGTTGCCTGGCATCAGTGTGGTGTATTGTGATTCGCGCAGCAAATTCTCCTTTCCACGCATCTCCATACACGGGTCCAAAACCTAGGAAACAAGATCGCTTGGCCAGGGGGAGTGACCCCAGACTTGGACCGGAGGACGACGCAAACCGCAGCGGGGCCAAGAAAAACCCACCAATAAGCCAAATCCCGCCCAAAGCCCGACCTGTGTCAGTGCCGGGAAGCGAACCAGCAAGCCGTCATAGACAGCGACGAGGAGAGGAGGGGAGACATCCAAGCCAGTCCGAGAGCTGTCGGCGGGGAGCAAAGGATGTGACAGCGAGACGCGAAGCGCCGTAAGCCGAAGAAAGCCAAGCCAAGAAGAAGGCACTTGAAGAGGAGCCCAAGAAGAAGAATGCGCCCAGGAAGAGGAGCCCAAGAAGAGCCGAGGCACTAAAACCAAGGATGCCGACAGTGACCCCCGTAACGCCGACCAGCCCAGCCCCTCCGGACCTGTGTCGTCCGGGGACGCAGGCATCCAGACCTAGCCACAAAACCCACCCTAACGTGAGCAAAAATGCCTGCTCATGCCTCAGTTACGTGGTGCCTCGTGCGTGAACACATGTTTCGGTGTGTTATATTTATCTTTCTGTGATTGATCTGCGATTCCATTTCATTGATTGGCTTGGTTCCATGTGGAGCCAGTGAACTTGAATAAGCACGGCCTGAAAAGACCGACCGCGACCATTGTTCCTACTCATCTGTTTCGGCTTCGGCTTCTCGTCCGGGGTACAGCCCCATGTGAGTAACTCGGCTTCGCCTGGATGCGCGAGGACACTTTCTTCGGGAGTCCTGCTTTTCCCCACAAAACTCCCCACAAAAAAAAAAACAAACCAGCAAGCAAATCAAAAACAACCTTGTCAATTTGTCAATGGTCAGGCGAGTCAAGGACGAGATGCTGAAAACGTGCAAAAACGAATATGCACGTCGCGGCTGCCCAGTCGAACACACTGGGTGGAAGCCAGAGCAGATAGCCCAGTACATGGACGCCCGGTATGCCACCTTGTCTGAAAACCAGGACATCGGACCCTTCATTCACGAGCTCCCTGAAAAGCAAAAGAGAGGCTACCCGGCAAAGATGCCTGACTGGGTCATCGAGTACCACCAGCGTGTGCAGAGGGAGGCTGGGTGTTGCGTAGGTGCTTCTGTGTCACAGCTGTGTCCGTGTCAGTCAGACGATCCAGCTTTGTGCGTGTACGTAACACAGCGAAAACCGGACGCAGGAAGAGGAGCAGGAGGCGGGCAGCCAGGCCGACTTGCCGGAGCAGGGCTACGACGTTCAGACGTTCAAGATGCCGGGCAAGGGCAAGTACAAGTACTGCCTGGTACACACGAAAAGGGAGCTGAGTGTGGAGATCGGGCCTCCGGACCAAGGGGATGAATGGGAGATCTTCCTGGGCGACGAGGACGAACGGGAGTACATCTGGCAAAGGGTGGAGAGCGATTACGAGCACGTTCTTTGCTCTGACATGATGAATGAGTTGCTCGCTGCTGAGGCTAGCGCGAGAATCGGCCAGGTACCTGTCAAAGATGCGCCGACGAAGCGCAGCCCGCCAGGACTGAGTTTGTCCATGTTCCTTTTAGTTTTCCTATTTTTAAACTTGCCAGCGATCGCAGCACAGTGCTACAGAAAGAGCCGCTGCAGGACGCACAACGCGGACTTCCAATGCGCCGCCCAGCACCGGGCAGCCCGCCAAGGTGTCTCATGTGGACGACGACGATTTCGGGGGCAGCAGCAGTGAGGACCTCCCGCTGACGATTGTTCGTGTTTCAGTCCAGGGCTTTCCTGGATCCTGTGATGCATGCGTACAGTCTGTTGTCCTGCGGAGGAGGAAGAAGAAGAGCTTGAGGACCCCAAGCCGCCCGCGCCCGTGGTCTACACCAACGCAGAGGGCAAGCAGTGGCTTCTCCATGGCAGCACGGAATTGGCGCTGCCCGGCCAGGACAAGCCGGATGGATGCTCAGACTGGATCGTGCAGGAAGAATGCGACGGGGAGACCGGCACTGCCCGCTACGAGCTGAAATCCCTGGCGAGCTCGGTCAAGGTCCGTCGCTGCGACGTGCTCCTAGCGGGGCGCAAAGCAAAGCCGATCATGGATGAGACGCGCAAGGCTGTGATGCAGAAGATCCAGGAGAAGTACGATGTCGACAAGTATCATGTGAAAGAGCAGCGAGCGATGAGGAAAGAGAAGGCTGAACGCAAGGCGCAGGAAGCGCGGGCTCTTGAAGCGGCTCGCATGGCAAAAGAAGAGGAAGAGCGCCAAGCCCAGGAGAGTGCAAAGCGCCAAATAGAGGAGGAGAAAGCGGAAAATGAGCGGAAGCAGGCCGAGGCACAGGCCCTATCGCTGGCCAAAGGAATGTTCGAGAAGATGAAGACCGAGTTCCTCGAGCAGCTGGGCCACGGAGCCAAGGACGTGGAGGACGCGAAGCCAAAGGAAGGAGAAGGACCGGCTGCTGCTGGCGCGCAGGACTTCGAGCCGAAGCGCTCAGAAGTGGAGGCCGAGAACCAAGCAGTTTCGGAGGAGCTGGCGGACCTGAAGGCGGGGGGTGGCTCGAAACGCAGCAACCCCGACTCGCCCGACAAAGCCGCCGTGGATGCCAAGAAGGAGAAGAAGCGACTGCTGCATGCACGTTTGGCAAACACTCACTGTTCTGTGTCCGAGGACGACTCGGGCGATGAGTGAGGACTGAGCCAGCCCCGGTCCAATCCCAGTCCAAGCAGGCTGGACCTGTAGTCTGCCTGCCCTTTTCCGACGGAAGCATCCCTGCCGTAGGTGACACACAGCCATACTGAAGTTCTGAAACACTTGGCACACCAGGTTTTTTGTTTCGTAGTCAGTCCTTAAATAACATATACTTATGGATGTATATCATTTTTTCTGGTGACGCACGGAATATTTGTGCTATTTTTTTTTGGGGGGGGAGGGGGGGGGGGGGGAGCAGGCGCGGGAGGAAGGAAGGGGGGGGGGGGGGGAGGAAATCCTAAACCTTTAGGTTAAACGCTGCATCCTAAACCCTAAACCCTGAACTTTAGAAACCTAAACCCTAAACCCGACACAGAAACATTATAGCCAGAAGGCGAGGTAAGTCAAAAACAAAGCGAAAATACGCAGGACGTAAGCCCAAGTAAGCCCGAACAAAAACGAGCCGACATGAAGCCGAAATAAGGTCCACGAGTTCGGGTCCCCGGGTTTCCGGGCTACAGCGTTACAGGGGCCTTCAAGCACAAGGCAAAACCAGCCGAAAGCAAAAACAAGGCAGAAACAAAGCCGAAATCAGGCCGACGTAAGGCCGAAATAAGGCCGAAATAAGGCCGAAATAAGGCCGAAATAAGGCCGAAATAAGGCCGAAATAAGGCCGAAATAAGGCCGAAATAAGGCCGAAATAAGGCCCGAAATAGTGTGCCTTATTTCGGCTTTGTTGCCCTTTAAGGCCCTTTCAGGCCCTGTATCCCCCCGCCAACCCGACCCCCCGAGCCTCGTGGACCCTATTTCGGCCTTATTTCGGCCTTATTTCGGCCTTATTTCGGCCTTATTTCTGCCTTATTTCGGCTTTGTTGCCCTTTAAGGCCCTTTCAGGCCCGGAAACCCCCCACCAACCCAACCCCCGAGCCTCGTGGACCCTATTTCGGCCTTATTTCGGCCTTGTTTCGGCCTTATTTCGGCCTTATTTCTGCCTTATTTCGGCTTTGTTGCCCTTTAAGGCCCTTTCAGGCCCCAAAACCCCCTGCCAACCCGACCCCCCCGAGCCGCGTGGACCCTATTTCGGCCCTATTTCGGCCCTATTTCGGCCTTATTTCTGCCTTATTTGGGTTTTGTTGCCCTTTAAGGCCCTTTCAGGCCCCGAAACCCCCTGCCAACCCGACCCCCCGAGCCTCGTGGACCCTATTTCGGCCTTATTTCGGCCTTATTTCGGCCTTATTTCGGCCTTATTTCTGCCTTGTTTGGGTTTTGTTGCCCTTTAAGGCCCTTTCAGGCCCTGAAACTCCCTGCCAACCCGACCCCCCGAGCCTCGTGGACCCTATTTCGGCCTTATTTCGGCCTTATTTCGGCCTTATTTCAGCTTTATTTCGGCCTTATTTCGGCCTTATTTCTGCCTTGTTTCGGCTTTGTTGCCCTTTAAGGCCCTTTCAGGCCTTGAACCCCCCCCCCCCCCCCCCGGAGCCTCGTGGACCCTATTTCGGCCTTATTTCGGCCTTATTTCGGCCTTATTTCTGCCTTATTTCGGCTTTGTTGCCCTTTAAGGCCCTTTCACCCCTCGAAACCCCCTGCCAACCCGACCCCCCGAGCCGCGTGGACCCTATTTCGGCCTTGTTTCGGCCTTATTTCGGCCTTATTTCTGCCTTATTTGGGTTTTGTTGCCCTTTAAGGCCCTTTCAGGCCCTGTATCCCCCCGCCAACCCGACCCCCCGAGCCTCGTGGACCCTATTTCGGCCTTATTTCGGCCTTATTTCGGCCTTATTTCTGCCTTGTTTCGGCTTTGTTGCCCTTTAAGGCCCTTTCAGGCCTTGAAACCCCCCCCCCGGAGCCTCGTGGACCCTATTTCGGCCTTATTTCGGCCTTAATTTCGGCCTTATTTTGGCCTTTTTCTGCCTATTTCGGCTTTGTTGCCCTTTAAGGCCCTTTCAGGCCCGGAAACCCCCTCGTGGACCCTATTTCGGGCCTTATTTCGGCCTTTTTTTCGCTTTTTTTTCTGCCTTATTTCGGCTTTGTTGGCCGTTCAAGGCCCTTTAAGGTCCTGACCCCCCCCCACGCCCCCCCCCCCAGCCTCGTCAACCCTGTTTCGGTCTTGTTTCGGCTTTATTTCGGCCTTATTTCGGCCTTGTCTCTGCTGTGCTTTAAAGCCCCTTATTATTTAATTTAAGGCTGAAAGAAGGCCGACATAAACCTAAACAATCCCGAAGTAAGGCCGCCCAAGCTCGAAAAAAACCCGAATGAAAGGCCCAAAAATTGCTCGAGGGTCAGGTTTCCCGGGCTGTAGGGGTCCCTGGGTCCCTGAACAAGGAGGGGAAGGGAGGAGGAAGGGAAAGGGAAGGGAGCGGGGAGGGGAGAGAGGGGAGAGAAAAAGAAAAAAAAAAAAAAAAAAGGGGGAGGCCAGCACGTCGAACGCAACAAGCCCGCAAGCAGCCCCCTGAACACATAGCCTCAACGAGACTCACTAGACTTGAGATGTCGGCTGCGGATGCTCGCCTCTCATGCTTTCAAAATTTCAGCCTCGGCTTTTCCAGCTGAGCTGGCACGCATGCCGCGCTGCGTGCAGGAAAAAGAGGGCGCATTTCCACAGGGAATGCAGGATCGGCAAGGTCGCTGGTTACATTGCAACAGCGCAGCGCGCGCGTGTGGCCTAGGCCTTGAAGAAAGTTTTCGCGGAGCAGCTGGATGGTTCCAACCCGTGGAGGCGTGGGACGCGCCTGCTGTAAGCCTTTTCCATGTATGTCAGTGGCAGGGTTTCTGGAATTGAGTGAGGCCCCTGGTAACTGCGAAGGAATGCAACCTGTTCTTTGCGGGAGCCTGAGAGACCCCAGCAAGCCCCGATATGCTCTCTCATTGGCGCAACTGCGCGGGTGTGCCAAAAAGCTTGTGGGCGCAATAGCAGTGTTCACATCAGGTCATCCTCAAGACAGTCAACCACTGCCTACTGATGATGGCCAACAAGACGCTGGAGTTTTTCGCCGTGCCTGCGGCGGAGGTTCTGCTGCCGGGCGAACAGGATCTTGCGAAGGTGGAGGTGAAGTGCGTCAGTGAGATGCCTATCCTCAAAATCGACGCCCGCCTGATAGTGACATAGCAATTCTGACTTGCAGCAGTCTGCGCTTTGGACCCATGGGAGCCTACCATTGCGCGTCAGTGTTTTCACTTCACCCAAGCTCTCATAAGGTTGCTGACGACGAGGGCGTGCAACACAAGGCTTTCAACTACGCCTGGGAGAAGCTCCATCTCCGTGGACACAGCGAATCGGAGGCTAGCCATCCAGCATGGAATGCTTCCCGGCTGCGTGTTGTGCGGGGTCCTCTTTTTTTTCATGTGTTGTGTTCCTGGCCCCTCTTGCTCAGGCTTTCAAGAAGTCTACAACCCACGCGGGGCTCACTATTCCGTTGTTGAAATTGAGTTTGATTTGACGCTTGGCCCATTGGCAGGAACTGTCACAAACCCCGCAGAGCCCATAAGCTTGAAAAAATACCGCGAGCACCGCCTGAGGCAATTTCGACCATGGTGCCTTCAAGTCGGGAGACAAACTGGAGGCCAAGAGGGATGCGTTTGAGGCGTATCTGGAAGAACAAGACGAGGACTACTTCGAGCAATTCGCAGAGAGGGTTTCTCGAGACTCAGGCCAGCCCTACGATCCCGACCTTCACCCAGGCGATTGCATGGCTGAGTACATGAGTTCACGAGCCCTGCGAAACCGTGGCCAGTACGTGCCTCGACAGGTGTACGTTGCTTTCTTGTTCTGAAACACTTAAAAAAACAGATTTGCAGGGCTTGAGAGGGAGGGAGTAGAAGAGGAGAGGACGAGAGGAGGAGAGGAAGAGAGGAGACGAGGAGAGGAGGAGAAGGGGAGAGGAGGAGGGGGGGAGGAGTGAGGAGAGGAGAGGAGGAGGAGAAGAGAGGAGAGGGGAGAGGAGAGAGGAGAGAGGAGAGAGGAGAGAGGAGAGAGGAGCGAGGGGAGAGAGGAGAGGAGGAGGCGAGGAGAGGAGAGGGGAGAGAGGAGAGGAGGAGAGGAGGAGAGGAAGGAGAGGAGGGAGAGGAGGAGAGGAGGAGGGAGGAGAGGAGGAGAGGAGGAGAGGAGGAGAGGAGGAGAGGGGACAGGAGGAGAGGAGGACGAGGAGGAGAGGAGGAAGGAGGAGAGGAGGAGGGAGGAAAGGAGGAGGAGGAGAGGAGGAGAGGAGGGGGAGGAGGAGAGGAGGAGGAGGAGGAGAGGGGAGGGAGGGAGGAGAGGAGAGGAGAGGAGAAGAGGGAGGAAGAGAGGAGAAGAGAGGAGAAGAGAGGAGAAGAGGGGAGAGAGAATGAGGGGAGAAGAGGGGGAGAAGAGGGGAGAAGAGGGGCGAGAAGGGGGGGAGAAGAGGGGAGGAGAGGAGAGGAGGAGGAGAGGAGGAGAGGGAGGAGAGGAGGAGAGGAGGAGAGGAGGAGAGGCGGAGAGGAGGATGAGGAGGAGCGGAGGAGTAGGAGGAGAGGAGGAGGGAGGAGAGGAGGAGAGGAGGAGAGGAGGAGAGGAGGAGAGGAGGAGAGGAGGAGAGGAGGAGAGGAGGAGAGGAGGAGAGGAGGAGAGACCTTGTTAAAATTGAACGGTAGCGCGCAGCCAAGGTGAAGCAGAAGGCGTGGTTTGGCCTGCACAGTGCGCTGAGGGACATGCTGAAAGATTGGACCGTACAGGAGGAGGCAATCTGCGCGCTCCAGCGCCACCTTGCATCTGGACCTGTGAATTATAGCAAAGTCTCGCAATCTTTTTAAATAAGGACCTGTGAATTATAGCAAATTCTCACAATCTTTTTAAATAAAGTGTGCCCGTTTCTGGGCGTCGTCTGCAAAGGAGAGAGTCCCCGGCGACCAGCCGGCAGAGCAGGACGAGGGTGATCCGGGCGCGGAGGCAGAGGAAGCAGAGGAGGAAACTCCCAGAGAGCCCAGGAACAAATCCGAGCTCTACCAAATGTTCAACAAGAAGGGGCCCACAAACATGATTGCTGGCTTCATGTCTGACCCTTACCTGCGGCAGGTGGCTCACATGATCACGCACATCTCACAGCCTTTGGAGGATGCCTATCACGCAGCTCTGGAGGCAGCGTCGCAAGGCTGGCACGATCAGGCAGACTTCGCAGCCCGCCGCAGCCTGGGCAGCTTCACTGACACAGTCTATCAGCTGCTGGCAACGTTGCAGAAGGCACCGTTGCATGATGCCCTGGGTATGACAAAGGCCACCAGGCAGGTGGCGCCTGCAGAGATGGCGGCTTGGGCGAGCGCAGAGCAGGAACTGCTGCGCACCTGCCACGAATTTGCAGCATGCTTGTCTGCCAACGTGTTCTGGTCCAACGCGCACTATTTCATGTCCTTGCCTGCTTTCCTAGCCAGCATCCTCAGCAAGCGACGGGCCGAACGTGAAACAGCAATGACGCACGCAAGAAGCCTGGTGAGCGCTGTCATTGACGCCGAGAAGCATCAGTCGGAGCATCCTGCTGCGTGGCAAGCCCTGCTGGATGACCTCGCTTGGCACAAGCAGCAGTTGCCACGTGAGACAATGGCATTGTGTCTGCAAAGTGGGTTTGACAGCAACGATGTCCGCTTGAAGCAGCTGGCCAAGCGGCTCTATTTGGGGAGCCCCTCGACGAAAGACACCCTCGAAAACACCTTTGCGTTCCTACATCGCAAGGCTTCAACGCACTCAACGAATTTCAAGATGTCAGATGCCTGCAAGTGGCTGTACAGCATCGTGTCGCCGTACGCTGAAACCGGCGGCTGCCCTCAGCTTCTTCCAGAGAGGTCAGACTTCGCAACCGTCCTAGGCCCGAATGGCTTTCCAGACAGGAACTACGCGAATCGGCACATGTTCGCCCCGAAGAAAACCCAGTTGCCCAAGCCAACTGTGCTGCACAGGCCCAAGGACATGAAGAAAAGCAAGTGGCGCAGCAGCGGACCACTTTCACAACAACGCTCGTCCGCTGCAGCCGCGTACCTCATTGCGGACAAAGCTGACACGTGGTCCAACTTGGACTTGTGCTGGGTGGGCCGCTCCGTTTGCGTTGAGAACTGTCTGAGCCTCCAAGCAAGCCTCCAAGCAAGCCTCCAAGCATTCTGTGAGGGATGATAGCAAATAGATAGTAGCCGGGGGTACGAAAGCTAAGAACCTGAAACCGCTGAAGCCTGACAAAAGGCAACTTCTTCAAGCAGGGCAGCGTTTTCAAGTATGAGTCGGAAGTAGAAGACGAGGAGTTCTATGTTTTGAGCCTTGGTTTTCGCAGATGGGCCGCAGCTGGATATCCCTTGGAGCGAGTGTCAGTCGAGGGCAAGGCGCATTCTCCGTTTCGAATTAGGTTTTTTTTTTGAATTTTTAGGGTTTAGGGTGTAGAGTTTGAGGGTTTCAGGGGTGAGGGTAGGCGCGGAAGAAAAGGGGAAGCAGGAGAGATTGAGCAACAAAGAGAGAGAGGAGAGGGGGAGAGGAGGAGAGGAGGAGAGGAGGAGAGGAGGAGAGGAGGAGAGGAGGAGAGGAGGAGAGGAGGAGAAGAGGAGAGGAGGAGAAGAGGAGGAGGAGGAGGAGGAGAAGAAGGAGAAGGAGGAGAAGGAGGAGAAGGATGAGAAGGAGGAGAAGGAGGAGAAGGAGGAGAGGAGGAGAAGAGGAGAGGAGGAGAGGAGG